TAAGTGGATTGGTAAGTTTTTAGTACAGATTTAAAAGTGGCTTAACACACGAAATTGTGAGATTTTGTAGCTTTTTATAACTATTACTCACGGAAACGTGACCACAACTGGAGCTGGGTATGTATAACGTTATTATTGTATTTAGCCTGTATTGAATTAAATTTTATCAGGTAATAAGCTGTAAGCATGACTAAGGTCTTGAAATTGCCGCGATATTCTGCGGACGTGTGTAATAGAGATTGAGTTTACGTATTTGACTAAATAAAGTGATGTTATTGTTACTCTTTCATTTCGCTTCTTTCAAAGTCTACAGGGTACGCAATGAGTATTTAAATAGTGACTGTATTTCTTGCGCTGCTTCTTCTCAGCACTGGCCCATTATTGTCCCGAAGCAGTGGTAGGCTTAATATTGGGACGTATAAAAGTGCTTTTTTAAAGCCTATTTGCAAAAATAAATGAATTTTATGAATTTTTTAATTTTTATGTATCAGGATATATTTCACCGTATTGTAACATAAACAAAACCTACTGACTACCATCTGTGAACGTTACTCGGGAGCAAATATGACATGATATTTACGGGACTATTCCCACCTCTCGTTCCCACCACTGCAACTCCTGTGTAGCCAGGATCTACAGCTTGACCGCCACAAAAACCCAACCAATGAAGGTCAAGTTTGTCCCGGGGGAAAGTTAAACTGTCATTGGACCCGCAACGAAATTAATCAGAAGAACATAGGAGGAGTTCGAAATTAAGGTTCGACTTCCCTCCATTGCAAAGCGGATGACAGGTGACAAACAAAGGTTTAAAACCTTTAAGAAAAAGATTATGCACCACGGACAATAAATTAAATTAAGGGGGCCTATCTTATGAGCAATTAGCAACTACCTGCCAATAATATTTTTCACAAAATCGCTTAAAAGCACGGAAATTTTTCCTTGTCGCGACAAGATCGGTGTAATAAATTGCGGAAACAGATGTATGTTGTATTGAATTAAGCATTATATCACGTTCATGTTTCCAAAGATCACACTCCCACAAGATATGATGGGCAGACTGCTCATGACTGACATCATCAGTGGAACACTCGCAAAAAGGAGACGGAACTAGTTTGAATTCGTGAAGTTTATGTTTAAAGTTGCCATGTCCCGTGAGGAACTGCGACGAGCAATGGTCGATTTCTAACCATCGCCTAGTTAGACGTTCGCGTACATTCGGGAAGAATTTATATAAGTGACGTCCTTTGACTGACGTATCCCATCTTTTTTGCCATTCATTAAGTAAATCTTCTTCAACGACTTCTCGGGAATCAAATAATCGACTTATTTTAGAACGATCGCGGCTATTTAAGAAATCGGAGGTTATATTTTCCCTTGATGCGAAGTACATAGCCGCACGCTTTTGTACCTCTAAGTCGACCGGCAGTACACCAGCCAGGACTGGCAGAGCCTCCGTGCTCACAGTTCTGTAAGCTTTGCAAAGAAAAATCAATGCAAGGCGTTGACTTTGACATGATATTTGCGGTTTATGATTAATTCGGTATTTACCGATCCGATTTCTTGACATTGGATCGATCCGCTAGAAAGTCGTATGGCTTTGAATCGATCCGAAAAATAGCTGGATCCCTATGCTCACAACGATCTCCGAAATGATCGGATCTGATCAGCCTCTGTGGTAGCTGTACTCCAGCATCTGATCCCGTAGTTTCGAGGCCTAGTTTACTAGTACAATAAACATCCGTTTGTTTATCCACTCATTTACTTGTGCAACCTCTTGAAGTTTTGCTGGATAATAAATGTATTATTCGTCGAAAGTAAAGTTTCTATTTAATTTTAAAAAAAAAACAGTTCGTTCGTTCGTTTCAGCTGAAAGACGTCCACTGCTGGACAAAGGCCTTCCCCAAGGATTTCCACAAAGACCGGTCCTGCGCCGCTCGCATCCAGGCACCTCCCGCGACCCTCACCAGATCGTCGGTCCACCTAGTATTAAAATAGTATTAACTAATAATTATTTAATTAATTGCTATGATTTTAAGTATATACCAAAGCGTTAACCAGTCGTCTGGCAAGGGTTGTGATTACAGTTTTTTCAGGAGTCGCGAAACATTCTGAAGTAGCTGAAAGCTGAATAAAAACAACATTTAATGTGCTTGTATGTTTCTATTAAAACACGTAATAAAATTAGACCAGTTGTTTGATTTAACGATCGCGTCTCAGTTACCTATATTTTATTTCACGAGTTGATATTAACGATCTACAATGTAAGAAGAATGTTTGCTGAAACATAATTTAAACTGACACAGCGATATTCATTTTACAGGTTTCCTCTTCGTAAATCACGATAACTTTATGTTAGATATCAAGAACGATGATTTAACAGAAGTTTATCGGGAAACATGTACCTATGGCGCAGATGATAAATTTATAGATAACATTTTACTAACGGGAAACGTGCAATGTCAGTAATGGGTATCATTTCCAAACTCAGAAATGGTTAAACTTACAATATTTTTTGGGCATGAATAATAAAGGCTATATCAAGCGTTTATCTCTCCTTGATGAGATGAAATAATAATCAGAATTATTTTTAAACGAAATTGCAAAGTTTTAGATGCAAAAGATGCAATTATTTATACTCGATCTTTTTTGCTTGTTTTAGCAATACAACGTCTTTGGCGCCCATTCATTAATGGTCTCATGTAAATAAGTCTACAAAGACTTAATAAAAATCGCTTTGTACACCGATTATGTGGGCGGGCACTCATTAATTTACGAGAGGCATCCTCGAATACTTCGAAGTGGCATCCATTATCTGTAAGTACTGTTATTCAAAATAAAGATAGAAGCATCAATCAATATCGTTATCTTTGCGGTTGCTGTTTACTAGATCCTAATAACTCAAAGTTATATTCTTCATTACTCGCCGAATCGAACAGGATTGACAGCTCAATCAAGAGTATTCGACCGAGTGTGGTACAATAACGATTATTAAGGGTGAGCCACGATTACGAACGGCAAGGTACTTAACGCCACCTCGAAGAAATATGTTCACAATAAAAGCTCACCGAGTGTAAAGTATTAACACTGCTATGATTCAACCTCCGTATCCGACATGAAATAAGACTTAATTTAGCGTCACGGAAGCATGGTAGGTGTATTAAGTTTTGCCGTGAACATAATTATAGAAATAACATTTTGCAGGGGATAGGAATGCAAAGGATATTAGACCTCAGGACCTATGCGACAGCTAAATTAATGAGCCATTCCAAAAATATCTGGAAATCGAGAAAGACAGTTTAACAACCACACTTATTTATTTAATAAATTAAATACCGCACTTAGAACGTGAGTATATTCACGTTTACACAACTATAGATTAAACTCAAGTTTATATTATTGGTCCAAGTCTCAGTTTATAAAAAGATGTTAACAGCCTCTACAGTTCTTTCTCTTCGAGACAAGATAATATTTAGTTAACACATGATGTACTTTTACGACTCAATGGCTCATTTGCATATACAAAAGCAAGGTTTTACAGTTCATAGCAGTCAATCATGGTTAAGGTTGATTGGAAATTAAAAATAAAACCAAATGGCTCTAGCATTAATATTTTTATTGCGGAGCTTTCTTATGGGCATGCAGATTACGAGATCTATTTATTGGAACTAATTGCGGAACCTGGAGCCATAATAGCCGTCAATTATAAACAATAAGATATACATCACTAGCTAATAAACGAAAGAGTCATAACCTTAGTGTAATAAGGCAGTCGGGAACTGATGGGAAATGTAAAACGTCTCGTTGGATGAGCTTGGGAACATTCTTTCATAATGTAATCAATAAGTAGTGAGGAACCATGATGAATTGATGAGAAACTGAGATACATCGATTACGGTAATGATATTGAAGCCGTATTTACTCCACGTACGTATATATAGACACGAGTGAAAGCGGTATTTGCATCTAGACAATGACTAAGAAATAAGTTAAAATACTGAATAATCTACCGTGTCCTTGTGACCCGTAGAAAGTGGAGGTCGCGCCGTGATCTTTGAAAAATAATGCGACGGATAATAAATACACCGATTAGATTGTTCGTAATATTTTACATTTATATTTGCCCGTGAGGAAGCCATTTCAAGATGTTACTTTTTAGCTGCTGCTTAGTTAGAGTAGTAATGTGTCTGTAACTTTCCTAATTGAGTTATAAGAAATGATTTTACTTTTAAAGAACTCCATTGTTAGTGTGTGTCATGAAGGTCAAAACAGTTGGAGAATTGTTTTGTTAGTTTTTTCTTTCATTCATAAATCTATACACAAAAATGAGGTGGCTAAATGGCAATAAGTCAACGAACTGAGAAAGTTCTGCGAATTTTGATAGTTGTTCGTGTATTTAATGTTTCAAAATTTTGTACATAAACAATTTTGTTGTACCGAATGAATTTATCAGTTGTCGAATTTACTTTTAAAAAACTCTTGTCACTTTTATTTTTTACTATTCTTTTAATATTTTTTTAGATTTTTTTAAAATTAATTATTTATCATTAACAGTTATTTTTTATTAACCAATGTATTTTTGAAAATTGCGATTTGTCATGTTTTATGTAAATAAAATAAAAAAATATCCATCTGGTTTTCGTCCCATTTTATGATCCTTAACTCACTTTCAAAAGAGTGTGCGTAACGGTTAGAGGCAAAAAACATGGGTTTACGGGAGTGAAATTCCATTTATCTTGCTATGGGAAATCAAATACTAATTATGTTCCAATTGGATTGTTTAAAAATGTGTGAAATAGCGAAATGTATGGGAAACGGCGTATCTAGCGATCGGCCGCGGCGGGCGCGCGGGCGCTGTCCGCGGCCGCGCTGCGTCCGAGCCATCTCTCCCTTTCTCTCCGGCCTATCGCGCTCTCTCTCCGTCCTTCGGCGGCTCGTTCCTCTTCTTCTTGCAAGGTTAAGGTTACGTCAGACGTGTTATGTTATAACCGTTGGGGCGCACTCCAGCAAGTTCAGTGTCTCGTCGAGAGTGGCCGCGACACTTGGCTCGCGACCATCGAAGCGCGCGCGACTCATCCACGACGAGGACTGTGCCCAGCCTGTGATATACATACGAACAGTGAAAAGTTCATGAACTTGGGTGTTGAATTTGTTTGAACTGTATCACGTGCCGCAGACGCTTTGTGGCGTGTCCCGCGAACCTTCGAAGGTACGTAAACAGGACAGCGCCTGCCATTTATTTACAATTTTAATAACGCAACCCGCAATATAAGAGAGATATTTTTCATGCGAAAGCGTAGATCAAGTCGAGGGCATTTGAGTGCATCCCGCTCAATAAACTGGTTTATTAAATATTTTATGGTGGTTTGGTGGTTGCCGCAATCAAGGACACGAGTGCATCTAGATATAAGATAATTAAGCGCTCATTGTGGAATTGATGTTAAGATAAGTTCGAAGGGCTAAATATAGAAATATTCCAATCTAAATTGTTTATTTAAATATACATTAGATGCTTATATTCCACGAGTGTGAGAATTGAACGAGCTTACAATAATATCGTTTGACTTTTACTAAAAAAGTAAGTGTAAGGGGGATAGCGAGAACTTTGGGTATTAAATTATTCAAAAAGTATAATTGGAGAGTAAATTAAAAAGTTTTTTTATTAATAAAAAAAAATATCTCGTCGAAATATTAATTACCACAAAACATATTTCTGCGGTTATAATAATTACATTTTGATCATTAAATTATAATTAAATTAAAACGTGAAAAAAAAAATTCAAATTAATTATGCACTACTTAAAGTTATACTTTCAAAGTCGCGGAAAGCTCACCCATAATTTATTCATACGCATTGTTATAAGCAAAAAATGACATATCAATTCGCGATAGTGGCGAGTCGTAGGAAAATGCCCTACAAACTTAGCGGAGGCGCGCGAGAAAAAGCTCACGTTACTAATTAACAGGAAAATTCCTTTTGTATCGCGGTCGTGGAAATAACGATGTAAAAATAATAATAAGAGAATGACGTTAGTTGCGCGTACCGTTAAGGTAGCAACAGAAGGGGGTTTTTGCGAGCACGCCTCGGTATTCGATCTTGTATGGAGCGATAAGCTCCGGTGCGCATATAGCAATAACGAAGCTATATTTAGAGCCACTTCGTTTGGCGCCTTTGCGGGAGGATTTATCATTTCATTCTATCACCCGTATTGGACTATTATTTAAACTCAATACAAAACACGGCGGGTCGTGACGGCAGAGTAGAATACATTTGTCACCAACCCCTACTCTTCCCGCGGGTGTCGTAAGAGGCGACTTAGGGACTACACATCAAACAGAGAATGGGCAGCAGCGCTCTCTGAAAAACATCAATCTTTTAAACTGCGATCTCCAACCCGCCTGCCAAGCGTGGAGATTATGGCAAAACCCTCCACTATAGTGGAGGAGGCTCATAGTCCAGCAGTGGACTGTAAAGGGCTGTTGATGATGATGATGACACGGCGGGTCGTGACGGGGAAGAGCCGTTTTGAAAGACTAGATTAAGTGTTAATATTATTTTTTGCGGGCGGACGTATTCGATGGAAATGCAGAATGTAGAGGCGTAAACACGATCAGAATAAAGGGAAAAATTGTAAAAAAAAATTCTAAAAATACGTTATAGCCTTCTGGAAAAAAACCGAATTTCCGTGCAGAATGAAAACTCCTTAAAACATAACTCTAATCATAACTCCCCTTTATGGCACATTCGGGTAAAAATTGTATCTATTTGGAAAAAATATTTATCAGTATTTTATTAATTACTTTAAAAATATTTTTCAGTATGTTACTTGTTCATTTTATAAAATATAGTAATAAAACAAATTTCTTTAAAAGTTGCGTAACACGTTAATGAAACTGCCGTTGTCAGCGTGAATCACGGCTTAGAAGAAAAAAAATGACCTTACATAATAAAATGTTCAGTTAAAAATTAAAAGGCGGACTTATTAGAATAAAACATGAGATAGAACGTACTCCGATGTCCAACGCAAAGCGGCCGCACAAAAAGAACGAGATTCAGAACGTTAGAACAACGCCGCTGGCAAAGGGACAACACGCGAACTTTGCGGGCTATTTTATCTATAAATACATTTATCTTTTTTAAATGAATTTTATAATCTTAAAAGGAGAATGTTACTTCATTCACAAAATGAGAAAAGGAAGGCAATAAATAGTTACTTAATGGCTTCAATTACGAACGAATCCTACGTAAATAAAATCCATTGTTTTTAATTAAAATTTTTAAATAATTTAAAATCGCAATTAATTTTAAAATCTATAAAAATCTTAAATGGAACCGGAAATATAAATCATTTGTCTAAGAAAAGTAAAAGGTCTTAAAAAGCGAAGTGAGGAAAGATATTGAGCAAAAAACATGAGTAAATAAATAGTTGAAACTCCATTAGTGGGGTAAATGATAGAAATCGATCGTTCGGAAAGACAGCAGGGCGGGCGTTCGGTGCGTCCATACAAAAGACATCAACGCTCGACCGGCGCGAGCGCAGATGCGCGTAGCGTGCTACGGCCTCGGATTAAACATAAAACCGCTAATTTAACCGCCTCTGTGGTCTAGTGGTAAGACCACCTGCTTCAGATGCAGAGGTCCCGGGTTCGATTCCCAGTGGGGGCAGATTTTTCTGTTCGGTTTGGTTGGTGGTAGGGCTTGTTCTAAGTCCGCCTGGCTAGCTACCACCATCTTAGCTAAGTATGTCGCCATAACAACAATGTTAACAGCATTGTTGTGTTCCGGCAGTTAGAGGTAAGATAGCCAGTTCCTCCGTGGTTGAGGATTCCGGGTGAAGCTCGCTTCCACCTTCGGCCTGATCGTCACTTACCATCAGGTGAGATACAGGCCAAGAGCTTCCTCGTTGTGGATAAAAAAAAAAAAAAAAACGCGATAGAAAAGATTAATTACACAACAGTAATGAACGCAATGATGTCGAACATGAACAGGATTTTGTTTGTAATGCTAAATTATGGCAAATCACTGTGAATATCGACTGTTCATTGCAAAATTACATGAGGTGCATTTATGCGTAGCTTAAGTTGTCACCAAAAAAGAGTTCACTAAATCCCGTCAGAATTTAAAGCACCAAATGTTAAATAATTATTTGATCGATCAACGATATGGTCTCCAGTCTGGTACCTAAAAACTTACATACAAAAAACACCTAAAAAGCACGGGAGGTAAAACTCTCTAACTAAATAATAAAATTCTTAAATCTGATGTGAGCCGACGATTACCTATATAAAATTGGTAAATATTACAAAATTATGCTACAATTTTATTTTTAACGTCAAAACTTACCGGGCGTAAGGCAAAAAACATATACATTACAGGTACATAATTTCCAAAAGAAAGAAGAAATAATGTAATAAATAGAATATAATATACCTACCACTAATTTTATAACGTTCATAACGAGTCGCATAAAAACTTACGATAAATCTACTCGGATATTATTTTCTATTCCATAAAGTCGAGTCAAATTATAATTCCTGTGTCACTGAAGATTCATTGTGAGGAGGATAATGACTATTTTAATAAAAAAAAGGGAAGACAGAGTGAGATATCTTAGCCGTGTGATGAATATAACAGAAAGCTTGTTTTAAAATGTTGTATTTGCTATATTTGGCGTGGAATTTGCAATTAAGGGTAAATAGACTGCTATCAAGATAACTTATAGCCAGTGCTTCCAGACTTTGGAACCAGGTGTGAATTTTTTCATTGAATATTTTTACAATAAATTCCCTGACTGCCAAGGACATTTTAAAACAAGAATATTTCAGTGATAAAAAAGAAAGGAATGTTATTTATTTTAACATGACAAAGCCCCACTGAGTGCGAGGTTTAAATTTATAATAACACGTTTACCAGTACATCCAAAAATTATTAGTGCTATAAACATGAATAGTGCTACAAACAATTTTAAGTACAGAATTTAGCAAAACGCGCAAGACCTTTTATATGTCGCACAATATTTACAAGAGGCGATAAACTCGCGTGACTTTAATGACAATTTCTTAACTTTAAATGCAAAATCTAATAGTGTGGTTCGCTTGTTGGAATAAGAAATAATTTTAACATCTCGTACAATCACGACTAGTTATTATGTGGTAGCTGTCACGGATTTAATGAGCTTTCTGTAGCTATCCATTAGTCTAGCTCTTATACTTTGAAACTGACCAATTTTCAACTTCATTTGAATATTTTCACCGATTTCATGCTGTGTGTGTTGTGTTTATTTATCGTTTATAGTTTACTTAATCGAATGAGGAAAGCTTTGCCATTATACGAGTTTTATGGAGCGTTAGAAATGCATCTAGAATTGAAAAATAGATATGGTTTTATTTACTGCTTTGTGTATAAGCGTAAAATAATTTACAAGTGTAGCTATTTCAAAGTAATTAGGTCTGGGTAAGATTCAACTGTAGATGAAAGTAATAAAAAGTCTTATTGCTAATAATACTGATAGGTAATTCCAAAGTTATGTTTAGCATCATTTGACAGTTTTATTGATGGTTTACTGTATAGATTACCACTCGCAAGCATCGAGCTGTGCTCAACGCAATGTGCGCCTCCGGAGGCGACTATTTCGTACGTAAATAGTAGGGGTCGCAAACCGGGATACCGAATTTCGAAAATACCGGAATACCGGGCCAAATTTAGGTCTAATTAATACCGGTATTCATTTCACAAAAACCGGGATTTTCGGTATTTTCGGTTTTAGTAAAATAAAAAAAAAACAAATACAATTAGAAAAATTTACGCGCCGTTTAATTCAAAATACGCACGCGCGAGTTCGTTTTGAGTTGATTGAGTGATAGTCGACGTAAACTCCGCTGCCGACGTCCTGACACCTCTCATCGAAAACATCTGGATGGAACACACCTGATGTCATGCCCTGAGTGCCCAAGCAACTGCACTCAGGAGGATTTGATGAGTGCTACTGACAACGCCACTCTTGTGGCAGAGTTTTGGGCTGACACTGTGTAGGTTTGTTGTCGACACGAAAGAAGAAGAAGATCTGGATGGAAGAGAAACTCCCAGACGACTGGAATAAGGGGCTTTTAATTACTGTGCCAAAGAAAGGGTACCTAAGCCTGTGTAGCAATTTGAAAGGTATCACTTTGCTCTCGATACCGTCAAAGGTTTTCTGCAAGATTATCTTG